TCTCAGTTGCAACATCTATACGGAAAAAAAACGTACTCACGCGAGTTTAAGTTCCGTTATACAAACCAAACGTCCACGTTTTACGGACAATAATTAATCGTCAACCTCAAGCTGTCACATATGCAATAAAACATACCACTCGACGAATGATTGCCACTTCAAACTTTCGGTGCCTAAAACTGAAGTTAAAAACTGAAAGACCTGAAGACCACAATCACAGCTGTCTGTACCTATCGTAAAAGAACAGGTTACACTTACGAAACTTGTTTTAAACACGAGCGTCCGTCGTCTTCCGATATGAACTGCGTGGGAAGCAATAAGCTCCCATTGCCATCAAAATAGGCGAAAGGATATTTCAAGTTGTATTCAACAATGATGCAGAATGCTCACTTATACGAGAATCCGTCGCTACAGATCTACCTGGTCAAAGGAGGCCAGCAGTCAACTATTTGAAAGGAGTTGGTAAATTTCCTGCCCTATCGTTAACAAAACTTGCAACTGTATGCGTTATAGATAATTTCAATGTTGAGCTAAAGTCCTACTTGTTGCCAGATGATGAAATGTCAACAGACACTTTAGTGGGTATAAATTTAATACATTATAGTAATCTCAGTGTGATAACCACCTCCAATGGGACGAAGTTAACTCGTGAAATGTTCATTAATCATGTAGGAATTATCCAGTGTTTGACAATTAAGACTGTGATCTAGTTAATGAAGATGAATTCGGAGAACTGCGTCGACTTCTCAATAAATACGAGTACCTGTTTATTCGTGGATATTCGAAGACTCGAGTGAACACCGGCGAGCTAGAAATCAGACTAAAAATCCTGTCAAATTCGTGGTAAGAAGACCATACCGCCTCGTCCAGTAGCATGAGAAAATTGCGCAATCCAGGAATGCAAAATCCAGGAACTTCTGGTTTAATATTATCTTCGAGAGCAAATCTCCTTACTCAAGCCCTATCATTTTGTTCAAGAAGAAGAATGGTGATGATCACCTCTGTGTAGAATTTTGAGAACTCAACTCGAATCCATTACGTGACTATTACCCGCTTCCATTAATTTTTTGATTGATCAGTTAGCAAATGGTCGTTATTATACAAGCCTAGATATGGCGGCTGGTTTTTACCAGATTCCCATAGGTGAAAACTCCATAGAGAAGATCGCCTTCGTCACACCAGAAGGTTTATATGAATACCTCACTATGCCATTTGGTTTAAGCAACTCTAGGTCTGTCTATCAGCGTTGTATCAAAATCAAATTGCTCTAAAATCATTTTTGGGAACAGCTTCACAGGTCTACAAGGAGGACGTGCTGAGCAAATGAACAGATTTCCTAGAGGGAATATCTCATCTAGAACGAATGCTCATAGCACTGCAAGGCCATGATTTATAACTTCCAAAGGGGAGACCACGTATTGATTAAGAATAACCCCCGTAACCAAACCTAGCTAGACCTAAAATTTTTCCCAGCTTAGGCGCCGCAGTGCCAGGTCCTCATTGCAGTCATCGGAGGGGACCTCTCGCTACCAGGTCGCATCCTTCTGCGAAGACGTCATCTCGCAGAAAGAGGCGGCGGAGAGGGCCCGGGAGGACAACCTTTACTCGGACTGAAACCGGCCGGCGGAGGCGCGGTTACCACCGCCTCATGCCGCCTTGAGTGTATCGCGGGTGGACGGGACAGATTTTCCTCTCCATCCGCCATAACGGCCAGCCGCGAAGAGGCTAAGTCCGCGTGTAAAGGAAGTCGCCTAAATAGAGAATGTACCCGAAGGTGGTGCCCGCTAGTCGGTAGAGTTTGTGAGGTTGTAGGGGGGTAATCTCTGGATCTACTGAACCGATTTGAAAATTCTTTTAGCAATAACAAACAACATGTTTGATCTACTGAACTGATTTGAACACGTGCTCAAACAATGGGTACTTTAAAAACGAGCTGCATTGCGCATACTCGGTCATTCTCGCTCAAGCCGTCGGGCTGTTCGGATCTACGTACAACTGTTGGTGAGACCTTGGAATACATCTAAATGTATTTACTGTGGTCTTTATTTACTACTGTACGACTGTGTGTAAGAACTTGGTAGACATCTTTAGTTATATTTCCCATTGTTGTTGTTATTTACTACTACTTGCTTTTATAAGGGAAAACCATGACAATCTAAAGAATGACGTCAGCTTTGCTGACGTCATTCTTTAGATTGTCAAAAACAACCCAGTCATCGGTCCTCCGTCACGTACAAAAGGTAAATAATATGTACATATTTAAGTCACACATTTATCAACTAATGTCTGAAATATATTTATTTTTTAATATTAGGTCATGTTTATTGGTCATATTATCAACAATTATGACTTTCTATCACAATAAGTAAATTTATCGTCGTAAGTGTTTAAAATAAAAGACTTTTTCCTTTTACTGCATATAATTTCGATGACTGGTTAAAGAGATAATACGACATAGGTATGGAACCGCGATATTTCTATTAGACGTTTTTTTCATAAACGGTGTCTCAGTAAGAGCGCACTTTTTAAATTTAGAATCTTTTTTTTTCGTGCAAGTAGCAACTCTGAAATTTGGCAGTTGTCACCTATGTTTATTCCGATTATTAGAAATGGAGCGCTTTTCGAAAGAACAACGCGTTATAATTATGAAAACTCATTACAAAAATGGGGAAAGTTACGCTGAAACCTCTCGCTTCGCCAAATTTTCAGTCGAGAAAGTGCACCTAATGTGTCAACCATTCGAAGAGTGGTCAAAAAATTTGAAGAAACTGGGTCGATCATGGATATTAAGAATCCTAAGCGTCAACGTACATTCAATCAAATCAAAACATCAATTCGGCATCGTTCGTGCGCAGTACTTCGTGAAATTAAAAGTTGTTCAACTTCAAATTTCACGAAGCACTACGCAGCGAATTTTGACAAAAGACCTCCACCTTCATACGTACAAGATTCAGCTAACTCAGGAGCTCAAACCAGCAGACCATGGAAAGCGCCGGCAATTCGTTCAATGGGTAATGGAGTAAAGTGAGGTCGATGCCAATTTTTCGAAAAAATGGGGCTCGGAAAATCCTCATGCAATCCATGAGAAACAAATGCATCCTCACGAGCAACTGTCTGGTGCGGATTTTGGTCAGGCGGCGTGCTTGGGCCTTACTTTTTGATGATCAGTTGCCACACCGCGCATGAAACAATCGACTTATGGCAGCAATGATTTCCAGAACACATTATCTCCCGAAATTCTGATGTCAACTGGCCACCAAGATCGTGCGGATTTGAGATTTTGTGAAATCTCGAGTTTATGCGAATAAACCAGATACAATTCCTGAGCTTAAATCAGAGATCCAACGCGTCATCGGTGTGATACAGCCACATCTTTATGTAAAAGTCATGGTAAATTTCATTAAAAGAGTAATGGCCTATCATCAAAGCCGTGAGGACCATGTCTTCTATACAATTCATTAAAAATATCACAACTCTTTCATAAAAAACGTGTTTTTATTTCAAAATGAAAAAGTGCACTCTTACTGAGACATTCTTGACAACACGTCAATTTACTTAGAAATACTTAAATTGTTTTATCACCAAAGAAATTTCATCTAGAAAAAATACGTTTTTTTACAGTATGTTTTTTGGTTGCATAGTTTATGAGATAATTTAAAATATTAAATAAAAGTTCGGCCAACACAGCGGCACGTGATGGCGTCGCGTCGGTCGCTGTGGTGGTATGAAAATTAACCGAAATTAGTTAGAGACCAAAGACAAGCTTTTGATGCAATTATTGTCAGTTGCTAAATAACATGGGTTAAAAAAAAACTGGACGCCCCAGGAGGTACTGGAAAATTGCTCCTCGCAAATTTGGTATTGGCAAAAGTAAAACAATCCAGGAAAAATGGGCTAGCCGATGCCACTTCAGGGATTGCCGCAACTCTATTAAATGATGAGAAAACAGCACACTCCAACTTTAATCTACCACTGACAGTATCATTGGAACAACAGTCATTATGCTCCATTCTTAAAAATGTACCGCACGGAAAACTTTCACAAGAGACATCTTTAATTGCATGGGAACGAATGTACCATGAAGTATTGGCACAAGGCTACTTATAAAAGATTTGTCGAAGTTGATAATACAGAATTCATGGCTTTATATAATCACGTTACAACTGATTAAACTAATCAAGAACATGATTGTTCTATATATTCTCCAGTTCTGCAAGATAAGGTATTGTCAATTACGGAAATGATGTAGTATTACTTACAAACTATAAATTTAGGGGCTCCTGATACTTCAGGTAGTATTTGTTTACCAATCTTCAAGGTCATTCACCAATCATCAAGGTCTTCAATCTAAAAACCAATTAACTGTACCAAGTAAACATTGATCTTCACTAATGATCACTCTTATAGCATTGATAATATTTCCATGTGTTCACTCTATTTTTATTTTTCGGAATTTTCATAAAGTTTAAACGATACTTTGGTTACCATAATACACGCTTTTCCTAATTTGAGGTCAAATGGCCCTGTATGAGATGTGTTAAGTTATTATTATTAGCAAAGAAGTGTGACATTAAAAGACAGAGAGTAATTATTGATTCAAAGCATTTAACATATTCTGATTTAAAACATTTTTATTATATGTTACGAGAACTTTACTTGATAATGAGTTTGTCGTCAATTAGTACAATTTTATAAGCAACTGTATTTAATAGTAATCATAAATCACCAATATCCTTAAATTCAAAATTAATTGTATATAAACCACTATCAGCCTCGCACGCGACACCATACCGTTATCATATTATAAGTACGTATTCATATCAAGAGTTACCGATAACAGCTGTTTTATAAAAATGAAAACATCTTATATTTTTATATAATTTGGATACCGATATCAGTACAGTATCGAACTTCGTCGGTGATAAACGTGACAACTACCAAAAAATTACAAAACATTTACAATAAAAAACAACCAAACAGTTTTGTTACGAAACGATCTAATGGAGAAAGCAGAATCGATATTAAATAAAATTCTACCACAAATAGCGGCAGATCTGAATTATGTCAATTACAAGATTCAAATTGATCCAATTTCTAGTGGCGGTGCTAACTACACTTCATTATTGTACAATATTACGATCGAAGAAGGACCCAATGCGCACCACTTGTTCGTAAAAGTTGCTGCCATTGGAGACAAGATGCGAAATGAAAACCCGAAACTCTATGCCACAGAAATCTTTGTTTATACAAAACTTATGAAAATTTACGAGGCTTTGGAGAATAAGTACAATATACCACAAGAACATAGATTGATATTAAGCAAGTTCTACGGTTGCAACCCTACAGAGTATGAAGAGACCATTGTTCTAGAGAACTTGGTTAAGAAAGAATTTCAATCTTTTAATAGATTTAACTCAATTACCTGGGAATACGCAGCCTCCGCAATAAGAGAATTGGTAAAACTACACGCACTATCATATGCTTACAGCGAATATTATCCTGAAGAGTTCGATAGAGTTTGCCGTGATCGTAAAGTTGAGTTCAACGTAGAAAATGGGTCTATGGTAACGGCTGATGTAGCAATGACTGCAAAAGCCCTCGAATTGGTCCATGAGGAGAAACGAGAAATGTTGAAAAAATTCTTCGATAAAAACGGACTAAAAGAGGTGATAACAGCTTTTCAGTCTTTTCGAAAACCAGTATTAGTGCACGGTGATTACAGACCCAGTAATTTGATGCACAGGATTCAGGACGTAAGTTGATATTGATTAGTTAATTTTGGTGGTTTTAACAGAACGTTAAATATACTATTAATGTAATAGTTTTTAACAGGGATGTAGTGAACGTTTCGGCACTTGTCCCATTTTAGATTCCAAAATTATCATCATCACTGCTGGACATAGGCCTCTCCTTAGAAAGGAGGTTTGGGCCTACTATACCACGCTGGTCAAACGGGTTGGTATAGGGTTTGTTTCAAGTTTTCCTTTTCTTTGCAGTGCTTCAAAATTATGTTTTTAAAAAAAATTGTTGCTTTAAAATTTGCCGCTAAAACATTGACATTGGTTACTTCTCTAATCGTTCAACTGACAGTTACTGATGATACAACTGACAGATGGTAGCTACCATACGAATTGAACTAGATCTAGTTGACGTTTCCAGTCTCGTTAGAATACTCAATACAACAAGAATAATAAAGTTTTAGTGTTTGTCATTAATTTAGGGTGCTTCTACACCCCACACGGGGGGGGGGGGGGTCGTCTACTCGTCTGTAGATGGCCCGAGGTATGTCGGGGCACCAGGGACTTCCTTTCTAGGGTATACCTGGTTCCCCGGCTATTAGTACCCGAGACGGCGTGCGGTTTTAGTAGATTCGAGTCCGACATGCCACAGGTATGGTGGTATCCGAGGGGATTTCCGCAAGGAAAAAAAAGAAAAAAAAAGGGTGCTTCTATACGACGGAAGTAGACATTTTGTAGTAAAATAGTAAAGTTTTACTACTGTGATTATTGATTCAGTACTTAGAATTATAAAATTATTATCTGATTATCATATTATTATTAGACAGTATTTCCACTACTTGAAAAACATAGCTGTAAAATGGTAACACTAAACTGATGAAGAAAAATAAAACAATCAAATAAGCTTATAATATTTTTCTGTGTTTTCCTGGGGTTTTACTTACTTAGATGATAGTTTTAAAAAACGTAGAGCTTTACTACAGTTAGTTTATTAAGACGCTCAAATTATACTTAACTACGAATTCGCCATTGTTCTTTAAATTAATACGAGAATCGGCTTTCTGTTGCCTGACAATCGGCGCTCTCTAATCTACACAATCTTAATGATTTAGATACCACGTAATATATATTTGTTTTTGCTGTCAACATCACTTCGATATCGTGATATGATAATAGTTTTAAATATATATTTCAAACATTTAATTTTATCCAAGTCACTCAGTTATATAAAACGTAGAGTTTTGGAAGATAAACTTCCACCAGTTTCACCAAACAGTAGGTATCGTTTTAAAATATATTTTTTGGTAATTTAACGTAACATAATTAAATTTTTATAAGTTACATAACATATTATATTTTCATACGTGTGGTGACGGATTGAGAATACACAGAGTCACCACACCTATTAATCCCTTGGATGTCGTAAGAGCCGACTAAGGGAGCAAAACTACGCAGAACAAGAACACTACAAACAGAAAGAAAATTTGAGACAAACCCGTCTGGCCAGCATGTCATAGTGACCAAAACCTTCTTTCTAAGGAGAGGTATATGTCCAGCAGTGGACTACTATAGGCTGTTGATGTGATGTGATGATATAGTTATATTATATGTACATAAATGGGATTAAAATTACAACATGCGGCATACATTCTGCCTACCTACCTACAAGGTTAAACGGTAGACGATGCATACCTACTAAAATATCTGCAGAAAAAGTTTTTTTTTTTTATTAATTTTAATTTTAGGATGGGAAGATAGAAATCAAAATCCTGGATCTTCAAACCATGCAAGCTTCTAGTCCAATGTTAGACCTACTCTATTTTATCTTCACTGGGTCTGATGGACAATTCCGAGCGCAATACTATGAAAAACTACTTGATTTGTACTACACAGAACTAGAAGAGGCCTTGAAGAGGTTTCAGCTGGATCCTGAGAAGGTGTACTCCAGGGCTGATTTTGACCAAGATTGGCAAGAGGTGAATATAAAAATCTACATTAACCAAAAGTTCGTCAACAACTACTGTTAAACTGAAAGAGCAACTTAGCCTCGATATTTTCTTTTAAATCCAGCATCATTATCATTCGATTTTTGAACCTAAAACTTTTATCCATGGGTAAACGTTTTGGGTTCAAAAATCTAATTCACACACACACTAAATAAACACTCTGTGTCCCTTTAACAAGTGGCTGCTTTGAAAAATCTCTACGATGATTATTAGTCATAATTAATACCTAATTATATTCCAGAAACTGCCGTTGGGCCTGAAAATCTCAGCTTTTACCTTACCTTTTCTGACGGTTTCCGAAGAAGATGCTCCGAAAGTAAACGAAGATTTAGAACTTAGCTCCTTCTGCATGAAGAACACGAGCGACCGGTGCGCACAGCTAATGAACGAAGTTGTGAATGATTATATAAAGTGGGGCATACTCCAATAGTTATGAACAATTTGGTGTTAGAAACACCAATATTCGAGATGTTGCGAATATAATGTCATAATGCATACTCAAAATGGAAATGACAACTCAAAATGTAATTTTATTAATGTTTAAAATTAATAAGATCTTGGAAAAGAAGTTTGTAGTGGATACAGAGAAGATACATATATATATAGGGGAGAGTAACCAATATTGAACCGGCGCTTAAATTGGACCTCTTTCGTATTTAAATCAAAATGGCACAATTTTTTTAAACTAGTATAAAAAGGAGCGCTAACAGCAGCGCCATTTTGTAGTGCTCCTTTTTGTGCCAATATACTATATTATTGGTTACTCTCCCCTATATATAAAACATTCAAAATTTCGACTCTTTCTGCACAGAATTTTAGTGTAAGTAATCTTTTTGAGGTCAGATAGCAATAGCATATAGCAAAGTTTAAAAATTTCATTAATTTTTAATTAGGTCACTTTAAGTATGCGATAATTTTACAAACGAACTAAATCTGTCCATTATTTACAAGACAATAAGTATTTTTTAAGAAAACTAATCCGATCCAGTAAAGAATTCCAAAAGTTTTAAAGTTTAGCTAGACTAGATTTAAGCTTTAAATGTTCTACTAATACAAATAGTGAACAAAATAAGTAGACTAAAGTATTTTAACCGACTACTTAGAAACAATATGTATTCATGAGTATAGGGATCAGAAATAAACTGTGAAGGAATAGGCGTCATTCCTCCAACAAACACTGAGGATCCTTCAGCGAGGGAGATTATCACGACTGGTAGACCACAATCCAACGTTTGATGTTGGGAAGTTGTAATAATATAATGGAATATTCTACCACATTCACAAAACGCCATCTAGTCCCAAACAAAGCAGAGCTTGTACTATGGGTACAACTGATATAAATACAAATATACTATTTTTCTAAATACATACATATTATACATAGAAACACGCAGACCAAATCAAAAATTAAATGTTCATGCACACAAATGTTTGACTTGAACGGGAATCGAACCCGCGACCTTTGGAATAGCTGTCCGTTACACAAACCACTACGCCATCCGGTCGTCACATCAGTTGTATATTATATAATATAATATATACCTCACACATCTCACTCACGGCCGTCTGGTCTTAAACTAGACAGAGCCCCCTCTTCCATAAAAATAAAAATCATCGCTGCGGGGAATTTCCAGTTTTGAATTATCTTGTTTTATTTCATTGATCAGTACAACCTGATCTCTTATTGTATAGACTTTTGTTCTATCACATGTAAAATATATGGTTTTTTGTAGTCATTTTTTAGCCCACATTGTTTATTGCCAATACATACGTATCTTAAAAATTTAATTTAAAAATTTAGCTTTCTAATCAGAAAGAAATTTTTAGTAAATACCTAATCAGTTTCTACAAATAAATATTAAGAATTCTAAATTAATTACTTCGGGCATGCAATTTTTGTAATGTAATGTATACCGGAATATGAGGTGTACTATGGACTGGGTAGTTCTGCCATTTTATTAAGAAGGAGATCATGCACCTTCTTTTTGAATACAAAACGGTTAGTGGACATCCTGATTTCGAGCGGGAGCGCATTCCAGGGTAGTACTGATTTCAGTTCACGAAGTAGGAGTTGTGGGAGGGACATAAGAGAAGCAGATTATTTTCTGAGCGAAGATTTCTGTCGTGATTAGAGGACAGGTAACGCAGGTAGAGAGCGAGGTAAGTAGGTGAGGTCGGTGAGTTTAAGAGTGAAAATAGAGAGGTAAGTGCACGCTGATGGCGACGCAGGCGAATAGGTAACCAGTTTAATTGGGAGCGCAAAGCAGACACATGGTCATACTTCCGAATATTGAAAATGTATCGAATGTAGTTATTGAGAAGACGGTCCAGTTTATTAAGAAGGTCTGCATTCAGGTCGAAGTAACATACATCACCATAGTCAATTATTGGAATTAATAAGGACTGCATGAATGTGGTTTTAGTTTTAGGAGGCAGGAAATTCTTTAGACGATATAATGTTCGCAGGTTTCCAGTTACTTTCTGGCTCACGCTAGTAACTTGAGCTCGCCAATCGAGGGTTGAGTCGATGAGCAAGCCCAGGTCTTTGACTGAATGGAATAACTGTGCCATCAAAGACGACCGGTGAGATAGAGGTAGTATCCAATGTGCTCATTAAACGTTTGCTGCCTACTACAATTGCCTGACATTTGGTTGGGTTAATCGACAGTCCAAATCTTCTCGACCAGGATTTTATGGCCTCTAGGTCCCTGTTCACTTCGTCAATAGCCTGCGTTAGTTCCTCCACTCTTGCTTGCGAATACAGCTGCAGATCATCGATTATCGCAACATGACAATTATAATCATATATCTAAGTTAATTGATATTATAGTCCGTATCTGCATTACTTTGTTTTTGTTCGAGTTTTTGAGTGGAGATCACGTCTCGGCAAACGTAGTATAGGACACCCACAGGCCAGGTGGAGTTACACCCACAGGCTAGGTGGAGTGATGATTTGTGCAAGATGGCTGGCTGGAGCTGGATGCGAGAAGCCCAAAATCGATCTAATTGGCGTGCAATGGGAGAGGCCTATGTCCAGCAGTGGGCCGCAATAGGCTGAAGATGATGATTTGCATTACTTGATTGAATAAGTTTATCAGAAGATTGCACTGGTACGACCAAGAATGTACTTATAATGATAAGATACCACCTAGTTATGTAAAATGATAAATATGCCACCTTTTGGTGTTATCTCAATACTGTTATCTATATTTATTTATAATAATCGCACTACCGTATTGTATCGCGCCGGTTGTACACGTTACTAAACAAAACATCAATACAAATTAAAGTGTCACAGTCAGTTTGAATTTAAAATGACAGATATAATTGTACCTATTAAAGAAGTTTTAGAAAAAATTGCTAAAGAACAAAATTTTGTCAACTACAATATTACAATTGAACCAACTTGTAGCAACGGTGCTAACTATTCGTCAACATTGTATAATGTTATAATCAAAGAAGACGGCAAGACACATCACATGTTTGCGAAACTTGCAGCTTTAGGAGAAAAAATTCGCTTAGAACAGCCACAACTCTATCAAAAAGAAATCTTTGCTTACACGAAGTTGGCAAAAGTTTACGACACCCTGCAGGATAAACATCAAGTACCACAGAAACACAAACTTAGTTTTACCAAATTCTACGGTTGCAAAAGCACAATTTATAAAGAAGTTCTAGTCTTCGAGAACCTTGTTGCAAAAGGATATCAACTTTACGATAGATTTAAGTCGATAGATTGGGAATATGCCAGCGCGGCTGTGACAGAACTTAGCAAAATGCATGCACTATCATTTGCTTACAGTAATTACCATCCAGAAGATTTTAATAAAGTGGTTGACGAACTAAACTTTGAATGGAGTTTAGAGAAAGGAAATTTATCAGAACATTTTGAGATGGCAAGTGTCAAAGCCGTAGAATCGGTTCAAGAAACCACCAGGGACCAGCTGAAGAGGTTCTTTGATACATTTGAAAAAAAAAGGTATCCGCAATTTTATGTACCCACTCGAAGACCTGTATTGGCACACCTGGATTATAGGCCCAGCAACTTAATGTACAGGACCCGTGATGTAAGTAAATTTTTCTCTGAAACTTTGATCATTGTTTTCTATTTCAAAAATGGTTTGTTACACAATATATGGTTTGTTTACATGCATAATAGTATGACACAATATAATAGTTCAATTTGTATGTTATGTCTTTGTCATCAACAGCCTTTAATAGTCCACTGCACTAAAAAATTATCCTGTGTCGCGGGGGACTTTACGAAAATAATTATATGAAACGGACACAAAGAACACCCAGACTCAGAACAACAATTTGTGGATCACACAAGTGTCGTCCCATGTGGGAATCGAACCCATGACACTCAGCGTAGTAGTAAGCGGCGTGGCGACCGCTTAAACCACTAAGCTAATCGTGCAGTCATAGAACCGTTCAGGCCTCTCCTTAGAAAGGAGATTTTGGCCTACTATACTACGTTGGGCAGACGGGTTGGTACCTATATCAAACCCTAGTTTGTTTCAGTTTTCTTTCACTTTGCAGTGCTGTTGTCGTGCGTAGTTTGCTCTCTTAGTCGGCTCTTGCGACATCCACGGTATGAATAAAGGTGTTGACACTCCGTATTCTTAACCCGTCACAATACGGATAGGTTTTTATATTTATTTATATAGTTTATTATTAATGTGTAACTTTTTCAGTGATATTGTGAGCAGGGACGGAAGTGTATAACAAGCTGGGGAAGCATTTATTACTCTGTTCAAGTGTTACATCTAGATGTACATAATTACACTACTTCGTAGAAAAAATATAAAAAAACTAACAATTAGTTTTAAAAGAAAATTAATTTATTTTTTTATGTGGGTAGAATTAGGTGGGTTCGTTACCCAAGCCCCTATCTGCACTGACGCGCGGAATCTTACGCTTCCCTGGGTAGTCCTTAGCGATCAGCCAACAAGCTTCGAGTGATGTGGTACAGCCAATAATCCGTTGACCCTGTGGCGTTGGCCGGAACTAGGATAGGCCGAAATCAGCCGATGATAATCACCAAGGGTGAACTTACAACCCCAGACACGGGGTTTATAATATTCACTAGTGTTTTAGTTTTATATTTTCAATTCTTAGTTGAGACGGTAGCAGGAAAAAATAACTGAATAATAAAATTAACGGAATAATAAAATTAACGGAACTTGAATCCGGTTGTCGAGTACGTATTTCTGACAAGCTCACAGCAAGACAACGATGCGTAGAATGTTTCTCGTCGCGCGCACAGAGCTCGCGGACTCCCTTCACTTTCACCGTTCCCCCCGCCCGGCGCCCACGTCCCGCCATCGCGAGTGCGGCGGCCGGTTTCACTATATTGAAGTAATGGAGCCACTGACAGTTTGTTTGTAAAATAATATTTTTAATAATTGTATTTAGTGTCTAATTTTAAGACTAGGTTTAAGTTTTATTTAGGATTTAAAATTAATTAGCTATAAGTTATGAGATCAAGCTCGTAAGTGAATAACTGAAACATTAATGCATAGCATTGTAACAGTACCCCCTTCCCAGCGAAGGATTTTTCCGGGACAGAAAAATCCAAAACACACCTAACGACTAATACATATATGAGGATTACGAGGACATTAGTTTTAACTTTAGGTCTTTAACATGCCAAGCTCCCAAGTTGCGGCCATTCATGTCCTCTAATACATAGACTAGTGGCGACCTTTTCTCTGTTACTCTGCATTTTTCGAACTTGGGTGCCAGCTTTTTACTAAAACGTGCACCTTTATCACTTTGGAAGAAACAGCGCTTCCACACTTCGTCTCCCACATTAAATTCGACGTGTTTACGACGCAAGTTGTAACGCTGACACGATTTTTGGTAGTTATTCCAAAGGGAAACCTGTACTTTATTAAATATTTCGGCTAAGTAGCCAAGATTTTCGGCATAAATATCACGTGGCAAGAACAAAATCTCATTACTATTATCGTTATCAACATAGTGAGAACCACAAGTGACTACCTCCCTACCATGCACCAAGAAAGAGGGAGTGAAACCTGTTACTTCGTTCACAGAATTATTAATGGCGAATTGAATCTCTGGTAGGTGTAGGTCCCAAGTTCGATGATCATCATTCACAAAAGTTGATATTGATGTGATTATAGTCCTATTATACCTCTCAACGTTATTAACCTGAGGAGTATATTTAGGGGTAAATTGCGCGTTAGGTATTTTGTACTTATTTAAGAGTGCTTCCATTTCGCGGCCTGCGAACTGTGTGCCATTATCCATAATTATGGTTTGAGGAATACCATGAACTAAAAAACACGTTATACTCAAGGTGTTTACAGACAGCTGCTGCAGTGGCTTGTCGTAGTGGGAATATTAAACAATATTTAGAGAAACAGCAATTAACAACGAAGATATAATTGTTCTGTTTTCTACTAGTAGGTAAAGGTCCGACCAAGTCTATGGAAAGCATTTGAAACGGGCGTGAGCAGTCTTTTGGTCTGCCCATTTTTCCTAAGGTAGTATGAGCGGGATGCTTATAAGCTAAGCAAGTGCTACAGTCGCCAACGAACTTTACTACATCTGCATACATGCCTGGCCAGTAATACTTTAAAAGAAGCCGTCTATAAGTCTTGAAGATCCCTAAGTGAGCCGCCGTAAGATTCGAGTGATTATTATTAATAACATCGTGTCGTGACTCTCTTGGTATAACTTCCTTCCAGCTAAATTCTGATGTGAGCGGATTTTTACTCTTCATGTAACGATAAAGTATATTCCCTTCAATTCTATAGTTAGGGTAATTAGATGGAGAACTAATGCACCCATAATAAATATTAAGGTACCAAGTATCAGAGGTGTTAGCTGTTGTCACGATGGGTGTATTTAAGGTAGCAACTTGTATGCATCTAGACAAGGCATCCGGTATAATATTGTCCTTGCCTCGACGGTGCTTTACTATAAAATCAAATGACGATAGTCTTACACCCCAACGAGCGAGGCGTCCCGTAGGGTTAGTCAGGGATAAAAACCATTTAAGCGCGGAATGGTCAGTGTAGACCGTAAAAACTTGGCCGTTTTCCAGATAACACCGCCAGTGCTCTAACGCGACTAATACAGCGAGAGCCTCCCTTTCGGTAACACTGTAATTACGTTCAGCCCCAGTGAGGGATCTGCTCATGTACGCTATTGGGTGCTCTTCGCCATTGATGGTTTGTGAAAGCATACCTCCAACACCGAAAGCACTCGCGTCTGTGTGGACGTCAAAACTGTAATTGAAGTTAGGGCAAGCCAAAATTGGTGCATTTACTAAATACGACTTAAGGGTATGAAAAGCCGTGTCGGCTTCAGGGGTCCACTCAAAAGAGCGTGCCTTTTTTCCACTAGAAGTGAGTCCGTTAAGCGGACCAGCTATAGTACTGAAGTTCGGCACAAAGCGTCTGTACCAGGATGCCGTTCCTAGGAATCTTTTAACTTCTTTTTTAGTTGTGGGGGTGGGGAAATTCAAGATGGCTTCAACCTTAGCAGGGTCAGTACGAAGGCCATTCTCGTCAACAACGTAACCCAGATAATGTAAGTCTTTTCTAAAAAATTGGCATTTAGCAAGATTAATTGTGAGATTAGCCTGTTTTAGCCTTTCTAAAACACGACTCAGTAGTGAGACGTGCTCCTGAAATGAATTACTAGCAATAACTATGTCATCAAGATAACAGAAGACTTTCAGTTCAAACTCAGGGCCAAATAAGGTATCTACAAGGCGCTGTTGAGTAGCTGGAGCATTAGTTAACCCAAAAGCAGTAACCTTAAACATAAAAGTTCCTCTGCCAGGTACATAAAAGGCAGTTTTCTCACGGTCAGCTACAGCTATTGGAATCTGCCAAAACGCTTTAGACAAATCGATGCTAGACAAAAACTTAGCATCCCTAAGATTGTCCAGTATCTCCGAAACATAAGGCAAGTTATAGGCGTCTTTCTTTGTGACAGAGTTTAATTTCCTGCTGTCTAGACAGAAACGAGGTTTACCGTCCTTTTTTTTAACTATTAGTACTGGAGAGGACCACGGACTTTCACATGGTTCTAATACATCTAGAGCCAGCATTTCATCCACCTGATCAATGATGATTTTCTTCTTTTCAGGTGATAAGCGGTAGTACCTCTGTCTAATAGGTGCTGCGTCACCTGTATCTATTCGGTGCTCTATCAATTGAGTCCTGCCGAGACCTTTCAATTCAAATGAGACTTGTCTATATTGTTTAATAATTTCTAGAATTTGTGCTTTTTGAGACGCGACAAAATTATCATAACTTATTGTGGATTCGCTAGGTCTAGAAGTTAAACAATGGTTAAAGACTCCTAGTAAATAAGGACTATCATTAGCAAGGAGTTTTATATCCTTAATGTTGTTAGGAAATATCTCGAATTTTGTCCAGAAATCAATACCCAAGATTAAAGACGTTTTGATTTCCGGCACTACATGAGCCTTGATAATATTGCATTTTTCATTAAAAAATACAGGCAAAAGCATAAAACCCAATGATGTCATAGTTTGACCTCCGGCAGCAGTGACAGATATAGTTTCGGAGTCGTCAATTGGAAAGCAATATTTATATAGTAGTAGGTGTAAATTGTTGCCTATAATACTCACGGCAGAGCCAGAGTCCAACAGACCGTAAATATCCAGAGATACGTTCTTAATATTTACTTTAACATATGGGCGAGGATCATTAGATGGAATAAAGTTTTTAATTGCAGCAACAGTGTTATAAGTATTAAAAAATGTTTTAATATAACTGAGCCAATCGTTCCACTCAGTGCGATTAAATTTTGTAATGTTGCTGCGATCAATTAGTTTTTTGATACCGATTCCCTTATTGAACCATTACAATTAGGGCAGTCTGGGTAACGGAAGTCTTTTTTTACCGCATTTAAAACAAATGATGACTCTAGGTTCCTTGCAATACTTTAACGAGTGTGTATGACATCGACATCTGGGGCAATATACGGGTTTTGATGCCCTAGTATTTTGTTGCACGGCATCGACCGGTGTAGTACTAATTTCGTTAGTGTTGTAATGCTTTGAACTGCTGGGACCATTAGTAGGTCTAGTGTAAGCAAATTCAGGTGCTAAGGTGTCCAAAGTAATCTTGGGAGGCTCTCTAAACTGTGAAACCCGGGCCTGATAGTTTTCATAATTGCGGCACGTAGTACGCAAGTCAGAGATCGTTTTAATCTGAGGTGAGCACGCGAGGGTGTTTGCGTAACAGGGTCTGATATTATGGAGAAGTATTTCGAGTTTCTCTTCGTCACTAAAAACTTTAGACAATCTCGAAAACAAGCCCTCCATTATCGCAAGATATACAATTATAGACTCCGATTCCCCTTGAGTCCGTAAGCGTATTTCATTCATTAGTCTATAATCATAGTCGAACTTAGTAAAATCTCTTTTTAAACATCCAGCTAATTGATCCCAATTATCTATAGAATCGCGAACACTGCGGAACCAATGTAACGCGTCGCCTGTGAATATTTCCGTCGCAAACGCTAATAGCCGATTTGGTTTAATATCCCTAGCTTTTATTCGTTCTTCAACCTCCTGAATAAAAGCTCGGACACAGGATTTCCCATCGAACCTTAGCCTCGCTAGCTCTGCGGCGATGCCCCTATCGCAGGTAACTGAGACACTAGGGACGGGAATGTCTTCAGATTCAATACTAGTTTTAGTGGGAGTAGCCGCAAAGAAGGAAGCCAAGTCTTTGTAGAAGACTTGTAGTTTTTGTAAACAGTCTTTGAAATTCGATGCGTCGTCTGAAGTCACAGGCTGAATTCTATTAAGTCTGTGATAAATATGGTGTGCTAGGTTTTCGGTTCTAGAGTATAAGTTCTTATCGTATTTAGTTTTTAAGCTTTGTATATTATTTTTTAATTTTAACAAACTGTCTTTAGCACCCTTAATATCAACTGCGGTATCTAAATGGGACTCTAATATATCTTCAGAGGGAAGAGTTTTTATCTGTTTTATAATCTGTTTTCTGAGATCTTGAACGTTGTCAGCAGGCACCTCACCTCTTATTTCAACTTCGTATTCAAGCTCCGTTTTTTGTAAGGATAAATATTTAATTTGTTTAGACATTATTGAAAGTAAATATTCAAGTAACCGGTGTTTATAAAATTCTAAGTATATTTGTTAAGTAATATTAGGACGCAGTCTGATATGTTGTGCAATTATTCAGTTAGGTACTTAATTACATAAACAAGAAATAAATGTAAACAAAACAACTGACAAGATAGATGGTGGCTAATTAAACAAAACAGCCCAAAAACCAAGCTATATACATAAAAATAGGCATAAGATACGATATTATTTTCAAATAAAAGCAAAGTCGTTTAAGTAGGTTGTTCGCTTAAATATTGTCCATTCCGTTACAAAAAGTTATAGCGATTTTGTTTAAAACAATATCTTTAACAAAAATACCGTCACCGAAGAAAACTATCTACACAAATATTGTCAGTGCAAATAAAGGGACGTCTTAAAACCACGTTACGGGCGCCAATGTTACATCTAGATGTACATAATTACACTACTTCGTAGAAAAAATATAAAAAAAACTAACAATTAGTTTTAAAAGAAAATTAATTTATTTTTTTATGTGGGTAGAATTAGGTGGGTTCGTTACCCAAGCCCCTATCTGCACTGACGCGCGGAATCTTACGCTTCCCTGGGTAGTCCTTAGCGATCAGCCAACAAGCTTCGAGTGATGTGGTACAGCCAATAATCCGTTGACCCTGTGGCGTTGGCCGGAACTAGGATAGGCCGAAATCAGCCGATGATAATCACCAAGGGTGAACTTACAACCCCAGACACGGGGTTTATAATATTCACTAGTGTTTTAGTTTTATATTTTCAATTCTTAGTTGAGACGGTAGCAGGAAAAAATATAATAACTGAATAATAAAATTAACGGAACTTGAATCCGGTTGTCGAGTACGTATTTCTGACAAGCTCACAGCAAGACAACGATGCGTAGAATGTTTCTCGTCGCGCGCACAGAGCTCGCGGACTCCCTTCACTTTCACCGTTCCCCCCGCCCGGCGCCCACGTCCCGCCATCGCGAGTGCGGCGGCCGGTTTCACTATATTGAAGTAATGGAGCCACTGACAGTTTGTTTGTAAAATAATATTTTTAATAATTGTATTTAGTGTCTAATTTTAAGACTAGGTTTAAGTTTTATTTAGGATTTAAAATTAATTAGCTATAAGTTATGAGATCAAGCTCGTAAGTGAATAACTGAAACATTAATGCATAGCATTGTAACACAAGGCTTACTGTTAGTCGTTGTACACCAACCAACTATGGTACAGAAACATGAAGAGTGCTTATAAGGCTCTTTCTTCTCAAAGCGTCTTTCTTGACTCGATTATGTGCATGTAGTAATCAATTAGTATCTGTTATATTCCGCTGTGTTTATCTGCTGAGAAATTAGTTTTAGGTTTTTGTGTATGAATTTTCATTAATGTAATTTAATTTAATTCTTGTTACATCCTTATGCCTGAAATGAACAATAAATTGTACATATTATAACCTGTATTATGTAAGTGTGCAAATTAATATATATTATACTGAAAACCTTTTAACATTTAGCTTAACTTACTAATTCTTAAAGACTAATTCTTAAAGATAGCTAAATGGTGCATCTTCACATCTGGATGTAGGCCCCTCCCAGTCTATGCCTTCTAACTTCTTCAGGCGTCAGCCATTCTGGCTGAAGACGTCCCTCATATACGAGGTAGTAACTCAGCCTTTCAGAGGCTACCATGATTGAATCCCCATTCTTCAATTTCTAGGATGGAACAGTGGAGATCAAAATAGTCGACCTTCAATCTCTGCAGGGCTGTAGCCCTGTTTTGGATCTACTATACTTCATAGTCAGTGGAACAGATGAAAACTTTCGCGCACAGTACTACGAGAAGCTAAGAGATCATTACTACACGGAGCTTGAAGCAGCAATGAAAAGACTTCATTTGGAGCCTGAGAAGGTGTACTCCAGGGCAGACTTCGAGCATGAGTTGAAGGAGGTGACTTGTAAAAATATCTTCTGTCTCTATACTTCTCATCATCTTCATTTCAGTTTCACTTAAATAACCATTGTCCTCCCACCGTCATAGGAACAGTCAAAAGTATTCATAACTTATGATTTACCATTCCCGTTATCGTAACTACTACTATTGTCATTGCCACACCATTACCATACCATTCCCATACCATTACCATTTCCATTCAAATTGCCAATGCCTTCACCATTGCTATCACTTGCTCGTTAGTGATTGTTGCAATTGACTATCATGGATGTATCTTATTACTGCTTTTAAGTCTAAAATATTGTTGGTAAGTCACTTAAGATGAAAAAAAAAATAACATCACGATTACCATCACCTTTAAAATGGTGTCTACTGACCTACTGGTTTATACTATGCTAGCTGTACCCTGCTTTGCTTCGGTGTGGTACATTGTGGTGGAAAAATGAAAACATATGAAAACCACCTTTGAAGCATGTTGTACATCGTGTTAAAATTTAAACTCAATTGGTGCAGAACTTTTCGAGTTCTTGAAGCATATACAAACCAACATAACCTTTTCCTTCACAGTGTCAACAATATTTTTATTCCAGAAACTCCCATTTGGCTTGATAATGGCAGTGATGATATTGCCGATAGTGACAGTGTCTGTAGAAAACGCCCCCGAGGTGAACGACACCATAGCGATGACCGACTTCTCTGTGGAGCCCGCCAACCATTTGTACACTGAGCGACTGAACGGAATAGTAAATGATTATATCAAATGGGGAATACTTCAATAAAAAAGAGTCATTTTAAAGCTGGTGGAATGTGTTTAGGAAATATAAATAAAATATGTTATATTGTTGTAGATCTTTTCTTTTATGGTATACGGGGGCAAACCAGCAGACGGTAAGTAACTACCATCGCCATTAGTGCGCTGCCTTTCTTTGGATTAAAGAGAGAATCGGTTGGAGGATTCGGTGTGAATTTCGAACATTCGGTGAAAAGCTAGAAAAAAAAATCCTAATACTGATACTTCGTGGAAGAAGAACAAGAGTGGAAGAAAACATATTATTTACTTTTTCATTAAGCATGCAAAATATAAAAAAAAATAATTGGAAAATGATAATGATAAAGGGAAATAAATAATAGACAAAATATCCTGCTATAAATTTTAATTTCAATCTGCGTAGACTACGGAATACGTAATAAATACAATCTTTCAGCTAGAAGACGCATGTTAAAAACTAAGCACATGCTACACGGACCTCAATTCTGCTAATTTATGTTCACGCCAAGCCACTGTCATACCACTGGCACTCTATTTGAGATGCCATCGAGTGGCCATTGGCATCGGTCAAAATTTTGGTAGTCTACACTAACTCAGTGTCTTTACAGTGGCAATGGAATGGCAGTGACTCATCAGCGGTGATATCAAAAAGATACATTTCAAAATCATAATACATGTTTTTTAATTTTGGTTCGTAAAGTTGTTATGGATTTATCATATTTATTGATACAAATGTATAAACTACAACGACAGAATACACCGTAATTAATGAAATTATCGTTAGCTGTTTGTAAGTGCTATTTGGACTAGTAAGGACCAGCAAAATTAAAATGTTTTCAAAAGAAATAGTAAGTACTTACTTTCGTATTTTTTAGACATTATCAATTAAATAAACTTAAAATTTTCTATTTCTGCAAACAAATTACAGAAGTAATTTAACACAATATTAATAAAATTATGGTTTGACACTACATAGTGCATCATTCTCTTTACTTTGAATTTTTATAATTCAAACTCCTAAGTTCGTTGCAGAAATGGCGAGTGATGTACAATTGGACGCGTTTGATGTTTCTGGTTCAAGGAAGGATGCAGTCTGGCGAAGCCTTTAGGGACGGAGTGCGCAAATATATCGCAGTCCCCGACGAACAAAATCGTAATAGGAAAATAACAATTTTACAGGAGCAAATAAAAACTGAATATCTTGAATACTATCAAGACTAAAAAGAAGATTCTTTTATCAAAAATAAGGAAATATTTTTTTGCACTAGATTTTTACTAAATTTTTATCATAAATTTTCTTTATCAGTAAGAAAATTGTGAAAATGTCCATTACTGAAATAAGCTATGGAAAAAATTAACGCAAACTAACTTTACGATAGTGTTCGACTGTAATCACAAATCGGTGTTGCTGTAGTAATCGTTCATTATGATATTGTTCCATGGTAAATATGAATATACTTTATATTCGTAAAATGAAATTGCATTGCAATTCGATGATATAACTGACTTTAATATTACGGTAAACATAAATTACATGCTTATTCGATGATTATTTTTAGGTGTTATAACCATTTCGGTACCTATGTATAAATTCTGATTCTGATTCTGTCATTTTTCCCTCGAACAATATGGTAATAGCCGCTTACTCTAAAATGTTGACTTTTGAGATTTGGTAATAGGTTTTTGCGTTATTGATCGTGTAAATTTTTCACTTATGTTATACGTTGAACAAAAACATAAAGATCATTATTGAATGGATAAATCCAAAAGTATTCATCGCCCGATCATAAAAAAAATTCAATGATTGTAATAGGGTGTGTAGATAACGAATATCTAATAAACCCGATTCTATCGTAATAGCGATTACCATAGTGTTCGTCGGGGACTGCGATATGGTCGCTAGATTACCAAAGTAGAGAGTATTAATTTACATAACAAATTTGTTCTATTTTTCAGGGACTTCCTTTCTAGGGTACACCTGGTTCCCCGACCACTGGAACCTGAGACGGAGTGCAGTTTTAGTCGTTTCGAGTTCGACATTGAATTATAGAAATTATTCGAAATTAAATAAATAATGTTTCTTAAATGGTATTTAGACAGTTTGGAACGTGAAAATCTACTAATTAAAATCTTTTTGGTGGGATTAGATATACCCACCAATCTGACGTAAAAATAACGGGTGTATATCAGTCTTCCAAAATTTAAAAGTAAAGTTATTGCGTCATTTGGACCTTCTTAGATCATCACTGTCTTTAATTAATTTCGATGATGTTCTGTATGTTTTGTGTATTATTATAGATATTGCATTGTAATCATAGATGCAACTGTCCCTTACCATGCCGTGGCAACTTGTAAGTAAGACAACACAGAAAATATTTGTAAAACATGTTTGTAAATTATGTATTAGTGTATGTTTTGTAAGTTGTCCTTTATAAATAAATAAAATAAACATTGATTTTGTTAAAATTTTGTTCTTGAAATATTCTCATCTATTTTCTAAAGTGCCCAGTTAGTAGCAATGGGCCTGCTTGTTAAGCAAGTGGGATTATACTAGGATGTGCACGTGAGTGTGTGTATGTAAGTAAAAATTCATTCAATATGCTCACAATGTAATAAAAGCTAGTGTCGGAAATGTTTCGGTGTCAACCTGATGCACTTTTGGCAGGCCCGATGATCTAGTGGTGATGATTCTAACTGCTAAGTCAACTGCGTGATTGCACGACTGCGATCGCCACGTCGCTCACTACTACACAAGATTCAGAAATTGTTGTTCTGAATCTTGTGTCCGTTTCATGTATGCGACACAGGATTTATCCCTAGTGCGGGAGTAGTCTTTAAAACAAAAAATATCGTGTCTTCTATTCCCACCCGGGCCAAATAATTGTGGGATTTGTTTGGTCATTTGTTGTGTGTTGTGTGTGTAAATTATCTATAACATGTATTTAGACATATATAAGTATGTTTATCAGCAGTCTGGTTACTATAGTACAGGCTGTGCCCAGTTTGGGATGGGACGGCCGTGTGTGAGATGTGTGAAGTTGTGGAATTACTACATATATAGACATAATTTAAAATTGTAGCCAGAAATAATTCGGAAATTAGCATTATTTCCTACGAATTATTAATTTTAATAATAATAATATTAATGTTGCCAATAAGCCTGATATTGTTCTGATAGATCGATTAGAAAGCCGCGCAATGATTGTTGATATCGCCGTTCCTCATGACGAGAATCTCGTGAAAGTTGAAAAAGAAAAACAAATTAAATATTTGGATTTATCTCACGAGATTGTCGATATGTGGAATGTTGATTCAGTGATCATTGTTCCGATAGTCGTATCTGCTCACGGATTGATAGCCAAGAGCCTCGACCAACACCTTAAGAGGCTCACCTTGGACGGCTGGATCAAGGGTCTGATGCAGAAGGCAGTCCTCCTTGACACGGCTCGTATAGTGAGGAGGTTCCTATTTTTCTAGTCCTAACCACCGGTGTCTTGGTCCCTGTACCCGATGTCGGTGGTCTACTATTTTTTATATTTTTAAATGTATAATTTTATAATTTTTTATAAAGTGTAGGTTTAAAAATGTAAATAATATGTATATAAAGTAAATAAAGAGAATAATAATAATAAGCATTTATTTATCGCTAAAATGTTACACAATTGTTACATTACCTATGATAGCCACACTAGGCGCAGCCTGTATCGTGGCTATCAATGAATACGATTAACTAACGCCTAGGAAATACAATTCAAATTTTCATCATATCTAAGTATCTATGGTTATATAACCCCCCAACGCACACAATCACTGACGATACCACTAAACCGTTCAGCAAAGAGTTGGTTAGGTGATATGGCTATACTTTCATAATCCCCATCCTTTCCAAATTGCGGAGCAAGTTCAGCTTCCACCAGCACCAATGGAAGGACAAAAATAGCTAAGCGAAGCGTAACTGGCAGCATCTGGAAAATAAGTTAGTATTTTTCAATATTACTTAGAATTAAATTATGAAGTACTGAAATCTTACGTCAGCTACACAAATAGACCCAATGGGAACCCTTGATCAAACAGAAAGCGACAACCCTATCGGCATCAAATGACACAGTAATCAATGTTTTTGATGAGATACTTAAATAAATAATGCAGTTTTCAAACATTCAATGTTTTGTTTTATTGTCACAACTGTAATTTTACACACGCACAAGACAGTAGTAACGTATCCGCCATGACACATGGCGTAAAGAGAAAAAAATCTAGCATTGTTGCCAACTTAAAAATAAATGTAACAGTGTAATTACATTGCAGTTTTTCCAAAAGTTTTGTAGAGTATACAACGCAGTTGCTGCTTGCGTTTATTTATTTTTATTACCTTGCATAGGCTGCTAAATATTTTTCTAAAATAAATGTAGGCTGATTTATTGGGCACACATGGACTAATACTAAACTAATTTAACACATTCTTATTGTTAAAATTTCATATTCCTCGCTGCGTAAATCCGAACAGCGAGCGACGGGAACATCGACGCCGCCATGCTGGAGGCGGCAAAAAAGTGAACACCGGATCGACACATACTCTCACACACGTCCTTATTTCCTTCTCATATATTTAACATAGTAATTACTGAACGTAAAGTTGTATTTTATTTTACAAAGTGCATAAGTCTTCAGAATAAGCTAGGGTGCAAGAAGTTGAGGCGTTTCGTAACCATGTTTATTATAACTGTTGCGAGCTCACTCGAGTTACACGAGAATATATCACTTCTAGCGCTAACCTCATTGATTACACGCGTAAGTAGCATTTTTGCCAGTAAGTCAGTTCTGGACGCAAAGACGATTAGAAGCGGTGGATGTAGCCTGCTCCACACAAAACGGTCCGGCACACTGAAGCTCAAGCGCCCCAGCACTGCCTTGTTAATCACCTGAATACCCAAGATTTTAGCTACCTACATACATTGAAAGTAAGAACTCCCAACGCACTCCTTGGATAAACAATATGGTGTACATGGGATAAAATGGGTACACGCCATCCAATTTCATGTACAGGTGTCTGGTAAACTTATTATAGACTCTCTCCAAACGCCCGAAACTCAGTTGTCCGCCGATATACTTCGATGAGCACTTCCGCCTCCAAGTCCCACGGGAGAGTTCCGGCCAACGCACACGTAGCCGCGTATGGCTCTAACCGCCAATACCCTCTGAGAGATCACTTAAACTACCTGTCATGACCAAAACGTCCTCGATGTTGGGTAGGGTCTAGAAATAACACCAAATAATTATGTATTTTGTCTTACCTGCCGAAGTTCATCATCAAATAGCTCCCTAGGATACACGTCGTTTACATCCAAGCCCAGTCTACCTAGGGCCCGAGTCAACTCTTGGAAGTAATGGTCAATGAACTTCTGGTGGTTCTCTCGTCGGAACTCTTCGTCTGTGCCCGTGAACTCCAGGTACAGCAGGTCAATGAGAGCACATCCGACGTGGCAAGTTTGGAAATCCAAAACTATAGTTTTCAGGTGTCCATTCTAGAAAAAAAAGGGAAAAGTTGTTACAAAGAGTTGCAGTCAGGTACACATAATAATTTTACAACATTCGATTTTATAAAAATAATGATATATAGTCTAGAAATGCTATTATCGTAGGAGAGCATACTGCGTACTGCAGTATGCTCTCCTACGATAATAGCATGGATCAATTGGACCGGAGTGATGCCCCGTTTTACAGTGCAATTTCATTCTTTTCTTTTCAATTGCACAGTGACTCACTCACTACCGATACACCGAAGGACATTCCTTCTTAAACCTAAATTTTGGCGGGAGAAGGAAAACACTCATAGCGCAATAGTCCAGAAAGAGCGGGAGTCCCTTATCAACAGGAAAAAAAAAATATATATTCATCATCAGCCTTTAATAATCTACTGCTGGTCATAGTCCTCTACTTAGAAAAGAGCTTTTGACGTAACACATCAGACTCTGGTCAGACGGGTTGGCATAGGGTTTGCGTCAAGTTGAGGCCCATGTCGTGCGGTGTTCCGCAGGGGTCTGTTCTCAGACCACTCCTGTGGAACATAGGTTACGACTGGGCCCTTCGAGGTCGCCTCCCCCCAGGCTGGGCGGGCAATATTAGCAGTTGCCGGATCCCTCCTATTACAGGCGCAGAGTGGCACACGTATGGTTTTAGTTGGTCCGAATCCGACACACCACCTCGCCATTTTTTTTTTTTTTTTTTACTTGTGGAAATCCCCTCGGACCGTCACCCCACCGGGGTTTGCGGCGAGGTGGTGTGTCGGACTCGGACCGACTAAAACCACACGGTGTGCCACTCTGCGCCTGTAATAGGAGGGATCCGGGAACAGCTGTTAGTAAGACATCCGGACCCCTCCTAGCGCCGGCCCGCTCCTGTTGCGGGCTCCGTCTCAAAAATTTCTTTTCCTCTCTTTAGGCGACGTCCGGCACACGCGGACGCCGCCCCCTCGCGGCTGGCCAAACTAATGCGGGTGGAGGGGAAACCCACCCCGTCCACCCGCGGCCACACTCAGGGCGGCATGAGGCGGTGATAGGCGCGCCTCCGCCACCCGGTTCGCCGGCGGCGGATCGGGTCCGAGTGGAGGTCGTCCTCCCGGGCCTTCTCCGCCGCCTCCTTCTGCGAGATTACTTCCTCGCAGAAGGTTGCGACCGCGGTAAAACAACTGTCGCTACCGGCCATGGAGCGTACTACGGCCGGTAGCGAGAGATCCACTCCGATGACTGCAGTGAGGGCCCGGCGCTGCGTCGGGGCGGATGGTGCCGACCCTGACGTTGTCCGCGCTGCACCCCGTCTTCTCCCGGATTACAGCGCGGACATCTTCGGCCGTCACAGAGTCGTCCAGGCCCGAGATGCGCAGCTTCGCGCACTTGGTAGGCCTGGCGATCTTGACACCATCTGTGGTGGCGAATATATCCCGCAGCCTCTCAGCAAACGTGTCTGCCGTCTTAGCGCCTTCAGCCCCAGGGAACTCGAGGACTCGAGCTCCCGTCTGGGCGAGGCGCATCCTGACCCCCACCGTCCCAAAATCGTTGGCGAGGCTGTCCCGGGCCTTTTTAAAGACGGCCGCGTAGGACAGCCCTCCGTCAGCTGCCTCCGGGGACACGGTCACCACTACAGCCGCGGTTTTGGGAGGTTGCAGCTTCCGCGGCCTCTTTGTAGAGGCCGTTGCCACCGGTGGCGAAGGCTGGGCTTGGGCTGCTTTTTGGGCAGCCCTTCTGGCCCGCCTTCGGGACTTCTTGGAGCCCCTCGCCTCCTGCCAACCCTCGTTGGAGGGGGCAGGTGCGGAGTGGCCCGGCAGGGGTGTCGGAGTGGGGAGCAGAGGGAATGCCACTCCGCTCCTCGGCGCTGTTTTGGGCCCCGTCTTGGCCGGCACTTTGGCCTGCGCATTGGCCGGCGCCTGGGGGGGTGCCTTGGCCGGCGCCTGGGCCGGTGCCTTTGCCCCCCTCCTCGGCTTTTGGGGAGCCGATGGAGTCGGGGCAGACGCCGCCGCCGCGTAAGAGAGAGAGACGCGGCCTCCCACCACGGAAAGCGCGGTCGGAGCGGCGGCCTTAGGCCGCTGTGCCGACGCGAGCGGGGGGCGCACAACCGGCGCAGGGGGCAGTCTGGCCTCCAGGCCAGCCAGGCGTCCGTTCAGCATATTCCCAACTGCGATGAGGATTTCACGCAGTTGGGAGTCAAATGCCCCTGAGTTGGTGGTAGGGGCAAGCTGGGACGCGGACGGGGCTTCCCGCTCGGGGAGGTTCGCCTGGAAGCGGGCGAACTGAGCGCTCAGCTCGTTCACCCGCTCCGTCAGCCTCTCGTTGGCCACCTGTAGGCGAGAGACGTCGCCCACTAGGCCCTCCACGACCTCCGACAAAGCGGAGGAGGAGTCCTTGAGGGCCCTCACAAACGAGCCCTTAAGGTTCACGGACTTGGTGGCCACCTTGTGGATGACGGCCACCGCCGCTTTCGCCCTCTCCTGCACGGACACGGGAGCCTGGGGGGCATTTCCCCCCACCGGCTCCCGAACCTTGAGCAGGAGATCCGCGATCTCCTCCTCCGCTACGGCCTCGCCGTCCACTCGTACATTTCTGTACGACTCCGCGTTTGAGAACGCGGAGCCTGACGGGGTCGAGACCGAGGCCGGTTTACGTGGCCTCCCTCGACGGCTGCTTGCCACCTTAGGTGGCATCATCTCTTGGGGCGTGTCGGTTTCCTCGTCCCCTGAGCGTCCGCGTTTCCGGCTGTCGCTGCGATGTTCCGCTTCCATGGCCTCCGCGCCATCCGACGAAACGGCGGACCCGGAACGCAGCCGATCCGATGTTCTTCGGCTCCCAGAGACCAGAGTCAGACTGACTTCTGGGAGCCCCACCGAGATAGGCGTTCCCGACACCATCTCGCCCTCAGTGGACGACCCATCCACTCCACTGTTCTGCTTCTCCTTCCATCCCTTTGCTTCCTTGTCCGTTAGGCTTGCCTTTTTCAGTTGTTGTTTGGTTCTGATCGTTTTTTTAGTCTTGAAAATCATCCATAATAAATCCCACGAGTGGGGGAGAACTAAAGGTCCACCCGGGCAGAGATCCCCCATTACCCGGGCAAGCGTAAGTTTTAACCCAACCGAGGGGTCCGCAGGTACCTCGGCTTGGAGTGCGCTCGAGACTAAACTTCCCATCAGCCATGCATCCCCTGGCCACGCACCAGAACACGGGATTCGGGGAATTTTTTAGAGAGGTTGTCTTCCTCGCGGTCCGGGCGGTTAAGCCAAGACCCTCGCTCCCGATCAGAGCCGCGAGACTTGACCACAGCGCTCTTCTCGGGATTACGATATGCCGACGGTTGACAGGGAGACTACGTCCCCCTGCCTGCTCGGTGGTAGTGTCAGTACACGCCGAGCCCGTCCTCCTTTCTCCACCGCTGTCAGCGGAGAAACTGTGGCCCCTACAGGGCCCCGCCATCCGGTTTTTTACCGAGGTTTCCTCCTCCATGCTCCGAAGAGCGAAGAGCCAGCAGGGCAACCGGCAGACAGCCCACCCTGCTGGACCAGGCCTTGCCCGAGAGCCGATGAACGGCTTCCTCTTCTGCTAGAATATTAGCCGCTGGCGATAATCCTCTCCTCCAAGTGGACAAGGAGGAAACAGTGCCATCGCCAGCGTTTCCAGGGTGCACCACGGGGAGGTTTTCTAGTCTAGCACCCCTTGACACAAACCCTATACCAACCCGTCTAGCCAGCGTGGTATAGTAGGCCAAAACCACCTTTCTAAGGAGAGCCTTTGTCCAGCAGTGGACTATTAAAGGCTGTTGATGTGTGACAATATAGAAAATTCCTTAGAACGGAGGTTTTGGCCTTTATAAAAGGCGACTTTATTTTATACTATGTAAGATTAATAGACTTGTTAATAATCTTAATGTCGAATTTAAAACACCAATACTCCATCTTGAATAGTCAACAATCTTTCAAATTCAAATCTCAAAATTCTTTTTAATCTACTTCGATTAAAAAGAATTTCGATCAATCTAAGTAGGGTATTATTCAAATCAACACCACAGTTACCGGCCGTAACTATCAATCAAATAGGTCAAAGGGGCAGTATTCTTTAGATTATTATTATTCTTCAGATTTACAACAATGAATGAAAAAAAAAATCAGTTAAAATGATCACAGTCAGTTAACTTATTACTATCATCGGTTTAATCTAAACATAAGATAAATTTATATATTTTTAGTAACTACAAAACTCACCTGTCGCTGGTACATGAGATTGCTTACTCTGTAGTCCCCGTGACATAAAACTGGCTTACTCAATGGCAGCTTATATTGATATACTTCTTCTTGAGTTGAGTCATCTATAGCTGCCATCAAGTTTCTGATTGCCTCCTTGTGTTCTTCTTTAGTAACCTGAATGGCATCATCCACAATTTTAATTCCCGTCTCTCTCAGATTGTCGTCATGTTCCGGTATATGATATTTCAGTTTTTCCAGTGCTTTAGCGAAATTTACAGGATCCTCCTTTTCAAATGCAAAGGATAATGCATGGAACCGTGCAAGAGATTCAACTGCAGTCGCTGCATGCTCCCAATCGATGGATTTAAACCTGCTATATGTGTTATATCCTTTGGACACCAAATCTTCTAAAACAACTGTCTCTTGTTCTTCAACACTCTCACCGCCGTAGAATTTGGGGAATGTGAACCTGTACTCCGGTGCAACGTTGTGTTTGTCTTGTATTTTTTCGTAAGTCTTCCCGAGCTCAGAATATACGAATTGTTCCGTATCAAACAATAATTTCACGTTCATTAAATCTCTTAGTTGGCCTTTAACATCAGCTACTTTAGCAAAAAGTTTCAGGTCATCTGCATTCTTTGCCGTGATTGTGATTTTAAATAATGCTGAAGTATAGTTCCCGCCTCCGCTTGTCAAAGGAATGAATGATCTTATTCCACTTTTGTGCGGTTCCTCAACGATTCTGTCGAGCAACTTATTTAAGACAGTCTCCGCGTCTGCCATGGTGAGCGTTAAATCCGCGACTAATGAATTGAGCTACGTTCACGTTCGATTGGTTTGTTATATATATAAGATAATTTTACATACTAAAATGATAATAAAAAAATAATACTATGTACACCTGCGACTGGAAAAATTACCTTCAATGTTGATTAGATAAGATGAATTTAATGATAATGTTTAAATAATACGAATGAAATATTGAATACGGAATGTCACTACCCCAATTCATCCCTTGGGTGTCGTTAGAGCCGACTAAGGGCGCAAAACAACGCAGGACACCAGCACTTCAAAAATAATAGGGAATATGCACGTGACACCAAAATGGACAAAATATTTTTATTTGTAATTTTTATTGTTAAAAAAAGATACCCATACAATTATTTCTTAAATTTATTATAATTTAATAGTGAAATTTAATCATCAAAAATTGGCTTTTTAAGATTCCCTCGCAAATTTCTAAAACGCAACGCTATTGGTTGAATAAAACGTGACGTCAACCTACAAGTTGTGTGTATTTGTAATATTTGGTTTCTGGTGATTATTTGTTGCATTTTAAGTTAATAACTAATACGTTTTCAGTGTTAAATTATTAAATTCCCGTTTAGAAAGACTTGAGTTTTTAACAATGACTGAATATACTTTGTCAGGTGCAGTTTTGATATTATTTGGGCACAAAGGAACGGCACAATATTTATAATAAGTTTTTATTGGCTTTTCCATGGTAATAAGTTAATTTTTATCACTCATTTTTTTAACTTTCACAAACTTTGTGAACTTTACTCCGTTGTTGACATCGAATTCGTCTGAAAGTGTAATCTGACGTCACAAAAAAAGGGCGCCAAAATGGACGTGTTCAAATTGCCCCAAAAAGATAGTGATTTTAGTAAATTTTTATTTTGCTTAACGGTTTATATTTCGGATGTGTTATATTTATTTATGGTAATGTAATAACTAGTAGAATCATTTAAAAAAAATGAAAAAAATACATGCATATTCCCTATTAAAACTTGACACCAACCCTTTTTTTTTTTTTAACCTGTGGAAGCCCCCTCGAGCCGTCACCCCACCGGGGTGGTGTGTCGGAAACGGACCGACTAAAACCACACGGTGTGCCACTCTGCGCCTGTAATAGGAGGGATCCGGGAACTGCTGTTATATGGACCTCCGGATCCCTCCTAGCGCCCGCCCGCAACGGTGCGGGCACCACCTACAGGTACGTTCTCTATTTAGGCGACGTCCGGCTCACGCGGACGTCGCCCCCTCGCCGCTGGCCAACTAATGCGGATGGAGGGGAGAACCCATCCCGTCCACCCGCGGCCACACTCAGGGCGGCATGAGGCGCAGGTAGGCGCACCTCCGCCGCCCGGTTCGCCGGCGGCGGATCAGGTCCGAGTGGAGGTCGTCCTCCCGGACCTTCTCCGCCGCCTCCTTCTGCGAGATTACCTCCTCGCAGAAGGTTGCGACCGCGGTAAAACAACTGTCGCTACCGGCCATGGAGCGAATTACGGCCGGTAGCGAGAGATCTGCTCCGATGACTGCAGTGAGGGCCCGGCGCTGCGTCGCCCATGCGGGGCAAACCGCCAGCGTGTTGTGGGCCGAATCCTCACTGCAGTCGCAGTGGTGGCAGGCGGGACTCGCTTCCCTCCTAGCGACCGAGTACAGGTACTTTCCGAAGCAACCGTGCCCGGAAAGCACCTGCGTCAGCCGGAAGGAAAGGGTGCCGTGCTGCCGCCCTGCCCACTCGGCAATGACCGGCTGGAGAGCCTCCACGGCGGCGAAGCCAGCGCGTGGAGTCTCCAGCCGGAACGACCATCTGACCATGGTGGCTCGGCGAGCGGCTTCGCGCCACTCGCGCACGTCTTCGGGCGGAGGGCGAAATCCGCTCTCCGCCCGGAAGTCAGCCACTCGCCGATAAACTTCGGCGAGCACTTCCGCCTCCAAATCCCACGGGGGTGTTCCGGCCAAGGCGCAAGCCGCCTCGGTGGACACCGTGCGGTATCCGCGTATGGCTCTGACCGCCAATATCCTCTGGGGGCGCCAGAGGCGCGCCCTATTCGGGGCGGTCAGAGCCGCCACCCACACCGGTGCACCATAAAGCGCCATGGACCGGACAACCCCCGCGTACAGCCGCCTCGTGGGAACACTGGCCCCGCCCAAATTGGATAAAAGTCGCCCAAGGGCGGAGGCAGTGTCCACCAGCTTCGGACCAAGCTGTCGGAAACTTGAAACAAACCCTATACCAACCCGTCTGGCCAGCGTGGTATAGTAGGCCAAAACCTCCTTTCTAAGGAGAGGCCTATGTCTAGCAGTGGACTAATAAAGGATGATGATAAGAAAAATTTCTGGATGCGCCTGCATATTATACAAAATTTAGTTAATTTTTGGGTCTAATTCCTAATAGATCGCTATATTGCTATAAAGTGAAGATGATTTTTGTACTAAAAGAGCTTAACTTGATTGTGTTTTTATTTTATCATTTGTAGTTAATGGAATTAATTTATATTATCATTGTTTTCTCATGGCTATTTATAGTATAGTTATCAAAGAGTAATAAAACTATCAGGAAACGCACGAAACTTGTTGATATTACTACCAGATAAGGACAATGAAATGTAAAATGGACTGTTCATATATGAAAAGTGGAACAAAAAAAAACAATATTACAAGAGATAGAAAAAGACAAAGAGGCAGACAGCTTCGAAGGTGGACAAGGAAAGCGCAAATCAGAACGGAGTGGAAAATTGGGCAAACAGACCGGGTTGTTGGTGTAATCGACTCGTTCAAGTCATTAGGATAAGTTTAACTGTTGTAACTACACAGTGTCCGTGTGGTGACGGATTAAGAATACAAATTGTCACCACCCCAATTCATCCCGTGGGTGTCGTAAGAGCCGACTAAGGGAGCAAACTAAGCAGGACAACAGCACTGCAAAGAGAAGGAAAACTTGAAACAAACCTTATACCAACCCGTCTGGCCAGCGTGATATAGTAGGCCGAAACCTCCTTTCTAAGGAGAGGCCTATGTCCAGCAGTGGACTAGTATAGGCTGTTGATGTGATGTGATGTGATGTAAACTACACAGTGTCTGAATAAAAGCGTATATTATTATTATTATCAAAGAATAAATCCGTAAAATTTCAAATTTCTATACCAAATTTCATCTGAATCGGTTAAGCGGTTTAAGCGTGATTTAAAATACAGACAGACAGATGAACAGACACAAACACTTTCGAATTTATAATATTCTCATGGATATTACTATGGATTAGTTAAAAGACAGGTATTTTAAATAATAATAGTGTGACGTAGGTAAATTATAGACAACTGTTCGGTTCCATAATCGGTTTAATAATGTTCTAAATAAATGTGTGCAGTTACATATAAGGTAAGGCGAGCCGCACACTACACCTCCCCTTTTTATAAAAAAAATGATTTATCCTATAAATTATTTTTATACACCAAGCAATGAGAAAAAAAAAATACAAGCTTTACATAACATATTATGTTTAATACAATTTTACTAATTTTATGTAACAAATAACTTAGTATTATTTTTATGAATAACATAATATTTTCCATCTTTTAAAATTTTAACATTTGGTGGTATGTCCTCTAGTACTTTATATGGGCCTAAATATAATTTATCCAACTTATTTCCTACTTGATTTTTAACCAAAACTAAATCTCCATACTTATAGTTACATTTATTCATATTTTTATCGTAGTTTATTTTCCTTAATTCTTTACTTTTTAATAAATTGAACCTAGCTTCGGTTTGTGCTTTCTGAAGTCTATATTTTAGTTCTAATGGGTAAGAATCAGGATTGTATACTGGATCTACGTACATATTTTGTGCTAAATTGGTTGGTAAATTACAATTTTTACCAAAAACCAATTCGAATGGAGAATATTTTGTCTCAGTATGAACAGTGGTATTGAAAGAAAAACACCAAAATGGAAGCCAAGTACTCCAGTCTGTTCTGTTGTTTTCACATTGGATTCTCAGATAAGCTCCTAGAACCCTATGAGTATTCTCTAAGCCTCCCAGAGTTTCGTGGTGATAGGCGGTAGAATGGAGTTTATTTATGTGCAATAACTTACATACCTCAGTAAAAACTGATGACATAAACTCTGTTCCCTGATCTGTAATTATTTCCTTCGGAATACCATATCTTAAAATAAAATTATTTACAAATAACCTAGCTACTGAAACTGTATCCTTCCTTTCTAAGGGATAAGCTTCAACGTATTTAGTTAAATCGCACTGTAACGTTAGAATGTACTTAAAGTTATAATTATCTATATCTAATGGACCCATTATATCTAAACTAACTCTTTCAAATGCTGTGGATGCCGTGGATGTGATGACCATCGGCTCCTTAGTGTGCCTGTTGGAGTGCTTTTGAATTTGACAACTTTTACACTTTTTAACGTACTCTATGACGTCATTATTCATTCCTGGCCAATAATAATATTTCCTGATATTATTTAACATCCTATTTACCCCCGCGTGGCCACTCGTGGGCAATAGATGAAAGTCATTTAAAATCACAGTCTTCGTGTCTCTGTCATCAATTCTTATCACGTCGTTAATAACAAGTAACTTAGGAATGTCACCTATAGAAGTAATTTCCTTTAAAACCTTGTTTATAATACTATTATAGCGCTTATTTTTTATTATGACGAGCTCTTTTAACTGTATTCGCTTGCAAAAACGTTGTAATTCTCTCGCTAACACACTTACGGTCGATAACGATCGAGACATTACATAAATTGCTGATTTTTTAGCTACGAATATGCAACTACCATTATCACTAGTTAAACAGTCTAGTTTTTTAATCTGATTTAACGTATCTTTACTACAAAATAAAACTAATTCGACGCTGTCAATTGGTCGTTTGAGAATTTCCACTACCTTAGGCTGATCAGACCTTGGGGCAGAAGATATCTCAGAAGTCGTGTCATTATTGTCACAGTCAGTCTGTAACTTACGAGCTTGAG